AGTGGGACACCCTGAGCCCCCTGGTTGGCAGTTTTGGGTGTCTCAAGGTGCCTCAATGAGCCTCGCTCAGTGAAGAATCCACAGAGAGGTTTTGGCATTCAATACTCCCATTCCATCCCCAATCCCATCCCTTATCCCAACTCCATCCCATTCCACCCCGTCCATGGTGACCACAGCTGCATTCCCTGCAGGATTCACATCTCAACTCCACCAGTGCCAGCTCAGATACTCCAGCCAAAGGCAATGCCAGCCCATCCAGCCACTGCTGTGAGAAGATAATTAAATCAACAGGCAATTACCCCTCCTTGTGGTCCCCATTTTGTGTGAGTGAGGGTGATGCTGGCGGTGCAAATCTCCAAGCGAGACACCCAGGATGAGCTCACAGGCAGCACTGGGCTGGTTCTGGTGTCCTTAGCTCCACCTGCAGCTTTGTGAAGGTCTGTGATCTCCAGAGCTGGGATGAGTGAGCCCCCAGGTATGGGAACATCTCCTGAGGTTTGAGTGTTGAGCCCCAGCCCAGCCCATGGTGCTCCGTCCATTCCCTGCCCTGCAGAGGGAAAAGGAAGGGAGGATTAGATGGCATCAGTGTGGCTGGCAAAGACCCCTGGACACCTTGNCATCCTCCTTGCCCATCCTCCTTTTCCCTGCAGCCCTGGGTAAGTGGCACTGACCACTGGGAACAGGAGGGTTGGAGGCAAACCTAGGATTTCATGTGTGGCCTTGAGCCTTGGTGCATCCCTCCTGTTCCAGCAGCACCCACTGGGACAAAACGTCCATTTGCTGGATTTTTCAGGCTGTTTTCACTCCCTGATGTTTTAGATTTCATTTTAATTGCCTCACACTGGCAGAATTAATACAGAAGAAATGCAGGCACCTCCTGCTTGAAACAGAGCAGAGCAGCACCAATGCCAAGAGCTCGGGGTGGGAGGCAGAACTTGGAATACCAGGGTCTTGCACTGCTGAGGAGTCAGGACACATTGCAAACCCTGATGCCCTTCCAGGGTATTTCTAAAACCTTGGAATGTGTTAAAATCTGGGCATCATCCCAGCCTGATCACTGCAGCTGGAAACACGAACCTGGAGCACCACAGGCAGAGCTGGGATGTGAGCAGCACATTGTGAGCATCCTCCTCACCCTGGGATGGCGTGAGCAGCACAGCCCCGCTCAGGGTGAGCATCCTCCTCACCTTGGATGGTTCCTTTTTCCAGGACCCGGTTCCTGCCCGCCCTTTCCAGCGGGGTTGGGATGGGCGGGACCCCGGGCCGGGCTCAGCCGCGGTATCTGATGGAAACGCGGTTTGAGCCTCCCTTCTTTAATGATTCCCTTTGAAATGTTGTTGCTTCCGCACATCCCCCTTCGGGGTAGAATATTAAGCAAGAGCAACTCGGCTGGAAATTCAGATTGTTTTTGTGTCTGTTTTCATTTACATTTTAATGACAGAGGGATTGTAGCAATCGAAGCAATCAGGCTGCTTGCAGCAGGGCTGGGGAAAGGGGCAGAAAAATCACCTGCCACCCCCTCACCTTTGGCCTCTGTAAACAGCACCAGGAGCCAGGAATCACCAACTTTGGGCATGAAGGGGCTCTTTTTCCCTTTCTGGTGGGAATTCAGTCAGAAATGGGCTCTTGGACACCTTAAAGGGTTTTGCCTGGTGCAGCATTGAGACACTGGGTGTTTGGTGCTGGGGAAGGGGATGTGGTGTGAAGGAGTGAGCACATGGGTGTTGTCCATTTGGGATGGTTGGGTGCTGAGGCTGAGGAGCTCATTGCACCTGCAGGAGGAGGGGAAAAGGGATCCCAGACATCAGACTTNGGATCTGACCCAGCACTCCATGCCAGGGATTTCCCCATCCTCAGGGATTGCCAAACCTTCATAAATGGGCTGAATTCTCACGTCACAGAGGGATTAACTTGGCTCTCAGGGCAGAGCCCCAAACACCCCCAGGTCAGTGGGAATGCAGCAGCAGGATCTGAGCAGAAACCTGGAGTCACTTTGGGGGATCTGAGCTATGGACCCCACAGCATCCAAGTCTGAATTCCCATGCCTGACCCCTCTGGTTTTAAAGCCTCCTCTGAAAGTTTATTATTGCTGTTATATCAAATCCCTGTGACGCTGGGCCAGTTTTACTGCACAAAGCAGGGTTTGGCAAATGCTGCCTTGCTTTGAAAGTTAAAATAATGGCATTACACCAAAATCAAGTATTTATAAAGCTTTAGGGGGAAATATTTTACCTTGTAATTGGAATCCACTCTAACCCTTTCCAGTATTTTGTGGGTTTAAAAAAAGTCTCTAAAAATAAAATTGAATGATGTGATAACTGATGCAATGAAAGTACAAAAGAAAATTAATAATCTCAGGCCATTATCCAGAGATCCTGACTGGGACACACTTAAAGCACCCCAAGATCCCTTGTTTATTGTGTCTCAAGGACTTCCAGATCTCACAGGTTTGGTTTGCAGTGGGAAAAGGGCTTTTCTTGNCATCCCGCATCCCGGTGAACCCGGTGCCTTGGCAGGGACAGTGTCCCCGGTCCCGCAGCAGCATCCCGCAATCCCGCATCCCGGTGTTCCCGGTGCCTCAGCAGGGACAGTGCCCCCGGTCCCACCCAGCACCGCAGGGCTGGCACGAACCCGGGGGCTGGTGGCTTCTGGGGAAGCTGGGAGCTGGCTGGGCTGGTGGCCTGAAAGCACCTGGGTGGGCTCATCCCGTCACCAGTGGGAGAATGGGATCAGGGAAAGGTTCTTCCCCCCGAGGGTGCTGGCACTGCCCAGGCTCCCCAGGGAATGTCAGAGCTCCAGGAGCTTTGGACAGCACCCCCAGGCACAGGGTGGGATTGTTGGGGTGTCCTGTTCATGACAAGGAGTTGGACTCCATGATCCTTGTGGATCCTTTCCAATTCAGGACATTCCATGATTCTACATGATTAACCAATCTTCCTGGCTCCAGGACCTTCCCTGGCACCCCATGGGTGAAGTGTGAGCTAAAATTTTATCACTTTAACAAGATTAATTGAGCACAGCCAAGAATGGCAAAAGCAAAATTAACTCACCCAGAGCAAGGCAAGGGCTTCCCTTTCCACCAGCAACAATTTCCATGTAATCAATTAGATGATGTTCCAACTGATATCCCTGTCAGGGAGTGTGCCTGCTCTCCCCACATGGGAGCAAATATTCATAACAGCAGCACCTGAGGAGTAAACATGGGAGAATCCTCCCTTATTCCCCTGGAAACCCCTGTGAGGTGTGCCCAGGAGGGATTGGCAGTGGGACAGCCAGTGGGAATGGGAGGGTGCATCCCAGCAGGAACTTGGATAGGGATGGAGGTGGGGATGAGGTCAGGAAGGAGGCTGGAGATGGAGATGGAGATGATGGAGTTGAGAATAGGATGGGAGTGGGTATGAGGATGAGAATGAGGATGGAGATGCTTCTGCCAGACACATTCCAGCAGAGCTCCCCGTTAAGGAGCAATTCCAAACCATGTTGGTTCCATCACAAATCACAGTGAGTAAGGTGGGCACAGCCCATGGGACACGGCCACCAGCTCCTGGGTGCTGGAGTGGTGGTGGAACAGCTCCTCTTGGTGGGGGCTCCCTTCCCCTGCTGTGTTTGCTCCTGAAAAACAGAAATCAGGATGTTTCCACAGTTCTCAGTTACTTCAGCTTTTCCTGGTGCCCTCTGGGAGGCTTTGTGATACAAGAAGTTTAAAATTCTTTTACTGCCAATGGGGATTGGAATTGTGAGGCTGAGCATGCTGGTTAAGTAAAGAAGGTGACTTTGCCAGTGGGCAAACCCCCGTGGGTGTTCCTGGCTCCAGCACAGCCTGGAGAATGACATTCCCTGCACAGGAGCTGGCACAAAGCTGCCCTGAGTGCCCCTGTGCCATGCCCTGCCCTGGCAGCACCACATTTCCAGCACTGCTCTGGTCCTGGCCCTGCCTTGCCAAGCCATTCACATCATCCCAGGGTTTTGTTTTCCCTCTGCTTTGGCTCCTGCCTGGATTTTTCAAAGGCTCTGGAGCAGCGAGCGCCCTTCCTCCCCCGGCCGGCGCACATTGTTCGAATTAGTGCCTAAATGAAAGGATATTGTTGGTTCCTGTGGGGAGATAATAACCTCGGTAGCGGAGGGAATTTCACCCATGCAGAGAGAATTTGCTGGGCTGCTCCCCTGGCCAGGGTCTGTCTCGAAGGGACGATGGCTGATGGGAAAGGATCCGCCAGGAAGCGAGGGTTTATCTTGGCATGCTGCTCTAATTGCTGAAAACTCTGCTTTCTGACCTCAAAAATGTGCCACTGCTGCCCATCTGGCACAGGGGCACCTGTGGCACAGCCACTGATAGCAGCGGTTGCCAGCCATGAGCCCCGTGGAAAAGAGCTCCTGTTCCCAAATTCTTATGGGATTTTGGTTTTCCCTCTTCCTTCCCATCCATCTGCCTTCTCCCACACCTTAAGGAGATGTGAGCCCCTTGCCATGCCATGGAAGTGAAAGAAAGAGAAAGGAAAATGTACCCAGACAATGGAAATCCCAGTATTTCCAGTTTATTTCAAGCATATGGGAAACATCCTCGTCAGCCCAAAAGGCACCTTCTGCTCCATTTTTCTGTTGTGGGGATGCCAAGAGGCTCCTGCTGCCTCAGTCACCACCATGCCCACGATGCTGTGGCAGGTGCTGGTGGCATGGGGGTCACAGGGACACAGGGACAAGCACAGTGGCACCTGGATGATGCCAGGGCAGGAGGGGATGTGCTGTGGGATCTCTCCATGGTCCCTGCTCCTTGCAGCCAGGCTGAGTGAGCCCACATCCAGCCACCCCACCTGGCTTCAACCTGGACAGTCATTTCATTTTACACCCCGAATTTTAAATTTTTTTATAGCCATTTGTGCTCTGATTGAATTTTTAACAGATGTTTGGACTTGTTATAGGTGAAGGAAAAATAACTCAAAGTGTTTCTTGAGCAGAGCTTGTTCAAAGTTCTCCAGTGGAGCTGTTTCCACACCAGAAAATCCTGACTATGTGCAATCAAACATTTAATTTCCATGGACACAATATCAGAGGATTCCTTCAGGTTAGAATCTGTTACAGTTATTAATCAAAGCGGCGCAGCTGAAATGAAACCTTTTATTGAATGTTGTGACAAAGGGATAAATTAAAGCATTTCTGGAATGCATCAGATTTGGGTCCAAGGCTGAAATTTCAAAATCCTGACGTTTTTTCTGCGTTATGAAGTCCAAATGTGGATCCTTTCTGTGTCAGAGCGAGTGTGCAGCACTTGGGGGGTGCTGGGGCCGGCAGGGAGGGAGGGGACAGTGCTGGGGCTGCAGCACATGTCACACATCCCCTTCCCAATCAGTGACACCAGCCCTTGAGGGACACTCTGGTGAGGATGCCTGGAGTGTTCGGAACAGCCAAGAGATGGTGGTCAAATAAAAAAATAAATAAATCAATGTACACTGAGATTTTCACCCCCAAATCCTTGCATACAAATAAACCCATCCACTGGGGAGCTCTGCCTGCAGCCCCACGTAGGCTGGAGCAGATTTGGGGACCCCAAAGTGGGGACCTGCCCGTGGCTCTGGGAGGTGACACCAAGGGGCAAAACCACCCAGAGGCACCGGCTGCACGTCCCTCCCCCTTCCTTTCCATTTCCCAAACAATTTCCTAATCAGCCCTTTCTGTCTGGAGTTTATTAGTGATTCACAGGCCAAGAGGAAATGGTGATTTTTGGGTCCTGGTCGGATGGATGGAAGGGGTGGAGTCGGCAGCAAAATTCCCTTTTTGTGGCTCAGCAGAGGAAACGTCAGCTCCGCTTCCCTGGCATAGCCCGGCTCCTCTGGCCAAGAGAAATCCATTTTTTGGGGGGTTTTAGGAAAGTAAAGAGTAAGGAGGCTTCCTCCTCAGAATGAGTGCTTTGGCAAGGGGGTCTCTGCCCCTAATGGGTGTCAGAGCTGCCTGTACCAATATTTCCATCACTTTTGGGAGGGTCACACCTCTGCTGGGCTCCCAAACCCTGCAGCCCTTTCCTCTTCCTCCTCTTCCTCCCGGTGCCACCCAAAGGCTGATTTTGGGGCTGGGAGCTGCTGCAGTGAGCAGGCTCTGACCTCTGTGGGATTCCCAGCTCCTCTGAAATCCAACCTGGCTGCAGATCCCTGGAATTTTCCCCAAATACAGCACATTTGGATTCTGATTGAAAAGGATTTCAGGAGTTACAGGTAGACATCAGGCAGCAGGACTGGGCAGGGGCTGGGGCTGTGCACAAGGGGATGAGGGTTGCCTGCATCCAGCCCTCTCTCCCCTTCCCCAGCTGGTGTTTATCCCAGAAAATCCTGAGGGAAATGCAGACCATGGGATGCTGCACGTGAAAGCAGGAGAGGGCTGGGGATGAGGATGAGGAAGGAGCCAGGCCAGGGATGGGGCTGAGCTGGCACTGATGCTTCCTCCCTCCAGACCAACAGCTTTTCTGGCCCCTCTCATACAGCCTGGGGTTGCTTTTCTTTTCCTCAGCCTAAAAAAATGACCAGGGTCTATGAAAATAACAGTGTTGTTTTTAAATTTTGTGAGGCCAAGAGGACAAACCTGTTCATAGCATCCTCCTCCTCTTCCTCTCTCCATCTGCAGGACCTGCTCCCAACACAAAGTTTTCCAGCCCCAGCTCTGCAGTGTGGTGGTCCCAGTGGTTCCAGTTCCCACTGGAAGTGTTGGACCTCAATCCTCACAGCCCCCATTCCTTGTGAAGCCCCTCACATCCACGGCCACACTGCCCAGAGACGTCACCCATGGCTCTGGCCCAAAGCTCAGCCCCAGTTTCAGCTGTTTGTGGGGAGAGCTGCTTCCCCAGGACCCCTCAGTCCCTCCCCTGTATTTACTGAATGTGTTTACAATTACAGGGGATGCCAGGGAAGGCTGTGGCCAGCGAGTCAGCACCGGGGCACTGCGGGCTGGAGGTCAGCACTCTGTTTACTTTAATTTCTCTGAGAGCTTTTTGGGAGATTTCCCTCCTCCATTATTAAACTCAGATGAGCCGCTGGGGAGGTTAGGTCGCATGTGGTTCAGGGCACTTTTTTCTTTCGTAATTTTTTTTTGTTTTTTTTTTTTTTTTCATATTTGCAATGTTTCACCCTTAACTCTTTCAGGACAAGCTGCCCATCTCAGCACTGGGACACCAAGATGAGCCCACGAGTGGGATGTGGCTCCTGGGTGAGCTGTGACCTGGGCTGGTGCTGAAGATGCCATTGTGACCCCATCTGAGCATCACTGGGAGGTTTAGGTGGGTATCAGGAAGGAGTTCTATCCCCAGAAGGTGCTGGAGCACTGAACAGACTTCCCAGGGAATGGTTACAACCCCAATGGGAATGGTCACAGCCCCAGGGCTGCCAGAACTCCAGGAGCATTTGGAAAATGCTCTCAGGGACAGGGTGGGAGAACTTGAGGAGCAGCAGCACCAACACTCACCTCGAGCAGGAGCAAGGCTGTGCATCCTCATTTTGCACCAGGTGGCTCCAAACTCTGCTGCCTCCTTCCCAGCAGAGGGGTCAGGACCTCTCTGATGCCATGTGGGCACAGGGCCAAGTGCCAGGGCTCCTTCTGGGACCAGTTTGGTTCAAAGCCCGTGGCACCCTGCAGGACACACAGCAGATGAGGAGCAGACAGCAGGATGAGCACAGGCAGTGGGAGCTGGGCCCTGGCATTGCAGGATGAATTCCAGCATGGCCAGAGCCAGGCTGCCATCTCTGGCACATCCCAGGTCTCTGCTGATCACAGAGGCCACCCCATTCCGAACCCCAGGGAGTAGTTGGTGCCAGTGTCCTCTGGAGAAGCTCCCATGGGTCACCCCAGCACCCTTCTCCCTTCCAAGCCCAGGATCCCCAGCTCCAAAACCCCAGTGAATCAAGTCCTGTGCTCAGCCTTCTTAAATTATTTTTAATTTCCTGGAGGGAGAGCTTCTAATTTATTTCTGGAACAAAGTGAGGGAAGGGGAGGGGAAGATGACTCTGAAGTCCATCACTAAGCCCTCTCCACTTCCAAACATTCCCTTTCCCACTGTCTCTGACAGGACCAGCCCAGCCCTCCCTAAGTCACCATGTCCCCTCTGTGCTGTCCCCAAGCTGGGGTTCCCTGCTCTGGGGGTCCCCACAGAGATCTGGCAGAGAGGGACAGCTGGGCCTGGGGGACACTGGCTTGCAGAGGAATTGAGCTGTTTTCACGGGAAGCAGCAAATCCTGCTGGTCTCCACCAGACACAGGCAAACCCAGGAGCTGGGCTGAACCAGTACAAAATCCCAGAGAGACAGACCCCTGAAATCACTGTTTCTGGATCCCTCTTTGAACCCAGAATCTCCCTGGCTCCCACCATGGTTGGGGAGGAACCCCAAACCCCCCAAAGCAGTGGAGACAGGGCCAGGTTTGGGGGTTTGCAGCAGGCTCCAGCACACTGGCACCTCCTGGCCTGTGGGGATTCCTGGGGTGGGGACAAGCAGAGCTGAGAGAGGAGAAACCCTGCTCTGCCCTGGAGCCAAACCCCAGTGGCACTCATGGTTTTCTGTGCTGCTGAAATCTAAACCAGAGATGGAAAAGGCCTGTTTGGGATGTGCCTCTTGGTAAACTGGGGGAGAAGGTCCCTGCATGGATCAAAACGGATCCCTCAATGGATCAAAATTCACTCTGTGCTCTCAGTGGTGAAAATTTCACTCAGTTTGAGCTCAGACCATGATGAGAGTGAAACCCAGAGCAGCACAAAGCAAAGGCTTGGCTGATGGCAAAGGCTGAGCTGAACCCAAACTCCTCTTTCTGTCCTGCCCATTCCCAGGTGCCTGAGTCAGCTCCTGCCTTTCCTGTGTGACAGGAAGGGTTTGTTCCTTTAATCCCAGCCTTCCCCTGGAGCTGCAGCCCAAGGATTCTTGCAGTGTCCCAGTTATAGCTCTTGGTCCTCCCCTCTGACTGCTCCTCCATGCAGTTGTCAAAGCCCTTGGAGCAGCCAGGAGCAGGAGAGGCTGTCAAGGGGCCTGCCAGGCAGATGAGAAATTAAACCAACTTATTTATCACTCACATATTCCACTGCTCCAAACCCTCACCACGTCATGGGGGAACATCTACTCCTTACATCCCACCTACAGCAATTCAGAGCTTTCAAAAGGATTTTTGTCCATCCTGAAAGCATCTCCATCCCTCTTCCTCCCCCTTGGTGAGAGGTGCCAAGCCCAGCCTGGGGTTGGGCTGTGGAGAGGGTTTGGGCTGGGGAGGGTGCTCTGCTCATGCCATGTTGTTGCAGACATCTTTTGATTAAAATGCTTCTTTGGGTTTTTTCTTTTTGGGAGGTTGGGGGGCTTCAAACCCAAATGTAAACAATGGTTATCTGCTGCTGTGGGATGCAACAGGTGCATCTGTGATTGGCCCCTCTTAGATGTTTATAATTAATGGCCAATCCCAGCCCAGTTAGCTTGAACTCTCTGTCCCAGACACAAACCTTTATTATTCATTCCTTTCTATTCTTAGCTTAGCCAGCCTTCTGAGATGAAACTTTTCCTTCTATTCTTTTTAGTTTAGTTTTAATGTAATGCATATCATAAAATAATAAATCAAGCCTTCTGAACATAGAGTCAACATTCTCATCTCTTCCCTCACCTGAAAACCCCTGTGACCACCGACCGTCACACCGTGTCCATGCCAGAGCTCGCACAGGATGCCAGGCAAGGCCACATCGGGTGAGATGGGGCCACCCCCGCCCGGGGCAGCTCTGGGGTCACTGGGCAGTGTGGGGCTGTCCCCACCGCGGCTCCCAGCCCCACAAAGCCCCTTTATCTCCCGAGACGTTCCCGGTGCTTCATGTGACCCCCGCGCCGGCCCGTGGGAACCGTTTGATGTTCCTGAGCCTTTTCCTTTCCCAGCGCCGACACCCCGGCTCCGGGCGAGACAGGGAATAAAGAGCCCACTGAGCGCTCAGCTCCGTGCCCATCGCCGCGGGGACCTG